ACTAGATATGGTCACTATGAGTTGCTGGTTATGTCTTTTGGGCTGACTACTGCCCCAGCAACATTCATGCATCTAATGAACAGCGTGTTCCGGCCTTATCTTGATTCGTTTGTTATAGTCTTTATTGATGATATTTTGGTATATTCGCGTAGTCAGGAGGAGCACGCGGAGCATTTAAGGCTTGTGTTGCAGCGATTGAGGGAGGAAAAGCTTTATGCGAAGTTCTCCAAGTGTGAGTTTTGGCTCAGGTCAGTGGCGTTCTTGGGACACGTGGTGTCCAGTGAGGGGATTCAGGTTGATCCAAAGAAGATAGAGGCGGTGCAGAGTTGGTCCAGACCGTCCTCAGCCACAGAGATTCGTAGTTTTCTTGGGTTGGCAAGCTATTATTGCTGGTTTGTTCAGGGATTCTCATCTATCGCATCTCCCTTGACCAAGTTGACTCAGAAGGGTGCTCCATTTGTATGGTCGGACAAGTGTGAGGAGAGCTTTCAGAAGCTCAAGACAGCTTTGACCACAACTCCAGTATTGGTCTTGCCATCAGCTTCATGTTCATATACCGTGTATTGTGATGCTTCGAGAGTTGGGATTGGTTGTGTATTGATGTAGGAGGGTAGAGTTATTGCTTATGCTTCTCGTCAGTTGAAGACCCATGAGAAGAACTACCCCGTTCACGATTTTGAGTTGGCTGCTGTAGTTCATGCATTGAAGATTTGGAGGCATTACCTGTATGGCGTATCTTGTGAGGTATTCACTGATCATCGCAGTCTTCAGCATTTGTTCAAGCAAAAGGATCTTAATTTGAGGCAGCGAAGATGGTTGGAGTTGCTTAAGGATTATGATATCACTATATTGTATCATCCGGGAAAGGCCAATGTAGTGGCTGATGCTTTGAGCCGGAAGGCAGTGAGTATGGGGAGTTTGGAATATATCCTAGTTGAGGAGAGACCTCTTGCAGTTGATGTTCAGGCCTTGGCTAATCGGTTTGTGAGATTAGATATTTCGGAGCCCAGTCGGGTGTTGGCTTGCGTGGTTTCTCGGTCTTCTTTATATGAACGCATCAGAGAGCGCCAGTATGATGATCCACATTTGCTTGTCCTTAAGGACAGAGTTGAGCATGATGATGCCAGAGATGTGACCATTGGTGATGATAGAGTGTTGAGGATGTAGGGCCAGATTTGCGTTCCCAATGTGGATGGGCTTCGGGAGTTGATATTGGAGGAGGCCCATAGCTCGCAGATTCCATTCATCAGGGTTCCGTGAAGATGTATTAGGATCTTAGACAATATTATTGGTGGCGGAGAATGAAGAAAGATATTGTGGGGTTTGTAGCTCGGTGTCTAAATTGTCAGCAGGTGAAATATGAGCATCAGAGACCGGGTGGCTTGCATCAGCAGATGGTTATCCCCGAGTGGAAGTGGGAGAGGATCACTATGGATTTTGTTACTGGACTTCCTCGGACTTTGAAGAAGTTCCATGCTTTTTGGGTGATTGTAGACAGGCTGACCAAGTCCGCGCACTTCATTCCTATCTGTGCTACTTATTCTTCAGAGCGACAGGTAGAGATATATATATTCGGGAGATTGTTCGGTTATTTGGTGTCCCAGTTTCCATCATATCAGATTGGGGCACTCAGTTTACTTCCCAGTTTTGGCAGTCTATTCAGCAGGAGTTGGGTACTCAGGTGCAGTTGGGCACAACCTTTCACCCTCAGACGGACGGGCAGTCCGAGCGCACCATTCAGATATTGGAGGATATGCTACGCGCCTGTGTTATTGATTTCGGTGGGTCATGGGATCGGTTTCTACCACTTGCAGAGTTTGCCTACAACAATAGCTACCAGTCGAGTATTTAGATGGCTCCATATGAGGCTTTGTACGGGAGGCGGTGTAGATCTCCGGTTGGTTGGTTCGAGCCCGTTGAGGCTAGGCTATTGGGGACAGATTTGGTTCAGGATGCTTTAGATAAAGTGAAGGTAATTCAGGAGAGACTCCGTACGGCGCAGTCGAGGCAGAAGAGTTATGCGGACAGGAAGGTTCGAGATGTATCCTACATGGTTGGTGAAAAGGTCCTGTTGAAGGTTTCACCCACGAAGGGTGTTATGAGATTTGGAAAGAAGGGAAAGTTGAGTCCGTGGCACATTGGGCCTTTTGAGGTACTTCGGAGGATTGGGGAGATGGCTTATGAGCTTGCCTTGCCACCCAGCTTGTCGAGTGTGCATCCAGTTTTTCATGTTTCTATGCTCCGGAAGTATATTGGAGACCCGTCCCATGTTCTGGATTTCAGTACGGTTTAGTTGGAGGGTTATTTGACTTATGATGTAGAGCCAGCAACCATTTTGGAGCGTCAGGTTCGGAAGTTGAGGTCAAAGGATGTTGCTTCAGTGAAGGTGCAGTGGAGAGGTCGGCCCGTGGAGGAGGCTACCTAGGAGACCGAGCGGGAGATGCAGAGCAGATATCCTCACCTATTTGAGGCTTCAGGTATGTTTCTTGACTCGTTTGAGGACGAACGTTTGTTTAAGTTGGAGAGGATGTGACGACCCGGCAAGTCGTCTCATGAGTTACTGCTCTGTTTCCCCCATTTCTGCTTCTTTATGCTTCGTTATCCGTGTTTTATGTGATCAAGTTGGTTAGTTTTCGTTCGGAGTGGATTTGGTAAGAAATGAGACACTTAGTCTCTTTTAAAAAAGTTTAAGTTAGAAAAGTCATCCGGATGTTGACTTATGGGTTAGAGGGCTCAAATATGAGTTCCGATGGTTCGGTTAGCTTCGGGAGGTGATTTATGACTTAGTAGTGTGATCGGAATTGGTTTTGAAGGTCCGGTGTAGAATTAGGCTTGAATTGGCGAAGTTAGTATTTTGGCGATTTCCGGTTGGTAGGTGAGATTTTGATTCGAGGGTCGGAATGGAATTCCGAGAGTTGCTGTAGCTTCTTTATGTTATTTGGGACGTGTGTGCAAAATTTCAGGTCATTCGGACATGGTTTGCTTGGGTTTTTGATCAAAAGCGTGTTTCGGAAGATTTTTAGAAACTTAGGCTTGAATTCGATGAATTTTGGATATTTTGTTGTTGTTTGAGGTGTTTTAATGTTTGGATCAAGTTTGGATAAGGTATTGGGTCGTGTTTGTGCTTTTGGTTGAGGTCCCGGGGGCCTCGGAGTGATTTCGGATGGCTAACAGGAAGAGTTGGACTTGTGCAATTGCAGATTTTTTGCTGCTTCTGGTGTTTTTGCACCTGGGGTGTGGGGACTGCAGGTGCGGTATCACAGTTGCGTTGATTTGGATCGCAGAAGCGGAAAGGCTGAAGGAGGCTTGGAACCGCAGATGCGGAAGAATGGTCGCACCTGCGGAGCCGCAGATGCGGATATTAGACCGCAGATGCGGTTAGGCGGGATTTAAGTGAATTCCGTAGATGCGGAGAAGTGACCGCAGAAGCGGTACCGCAGAAGCGGGTATTTGACCGCAGGTGCGGTTATGACTAGGCAGAAGGTATATATAGTTCTTCTTCGCGATTTTTGAAGGGTTTATTCATTTTAACTTCGGACTTAGAGTTTTTGGGCGATTTTGAAGAGAGATTTTAAGGGAACTTCGATAAGGTGAGGATTTTGGACCTAAAACATACTTATATGGTAATATTTCACGGATTGGGACTGAAATTTAAGGAATTAATGGACTAAAAATGGATGTTTAGGGCTTGAGTTTAAGAGAGTTTAAATTAAGGATTTGAGGGGTCAATTGAACTCCGATTCTTGTGTTTTTGATATGTATGAACTCGTGGGAGGATAACGAACCTAATGATGTGAAAATTTCTGAGTTTCGAGAAGTGGGCCTGGGGCTCGGGTTTTGCTAATTTCGGGATATTTGATATTTTTCGATTTTTTCGCTTGGGCTTTGTTCCCTTAGCATATTGTGACGTATTCGTTCTGATTTTGGTTAGATTCGTCGCGCGTGGAAGCCGATTTTAGAGGCAAAGGCGTCGCGAGCTAGAGATTTAGCCGGTTCGAGGTGAGTAATGATGTTAAATGATGTCTTGAGGGTTTGAAACCCCGGATTTGCACATCGTAGTGCTATATTGAGGTGACTTGCACGCCGGATAGCGAGCGTGGGGTAGAGCACCATTGGGGAATGTGACTTGGTCCGTTCCGATTGATGAAATTATCGCTTATTTGACCGAAACTTATTTGTTATCATCATGATTTGGGCTAATTGCCATATTTTGGCTTCGTGCCAACTATTTAAATCCTTCAGGGACTTTGACTGATTTTTCCTCACTTCACTTGTTAAAAATCATATCCTCAGTCATGTTTCTATCTGTTTTAAACGATTTGAGCTTGTTATATCATTTTATTTCTAAATGAGAGGAATGTGTGGGCTGAGATCCCTATCTTCTATTATTGTGCCCGAGGGGCTGTGAGGTTAATGACTGAGAGGGGTTGAGAACCCCACGGTGAGGATATTATATATGTTATGGATCGGGCTGCGCGCCGCAGCAACATAGCGCTTGGGCTGTAGGAGCCCCTCCGGAATCTGCACAGCCCCAGTGAGCGTAGTCGACTATCTATATGGATTGGGCTGCGCACCGCAGCGATGTACGAATCGGGCTGCACGCTGCAGCGGTTATTCTGATTTTCTGTTATTGTGAGAGTTATGAGTCGAGTGCTGAGAGTGTGTACTAAGTGAGTAATACTGTGCCCGAGGAGCGAATTTTACTTGTCATTTACCTGTTAAATTACCTGTTTTTACTTGATTTAAAGAGATTTCATTCGACTTCTTCACTGGTTTACTGCTTTAAGTGATTTTACTGCTTGATATAGAATTGCTTTGTGCCCTTACGTGTTTTCATGCTTTCAGCCATTATTTATAATTATTACTCACTGGGTCGGAGTACTCACATTACTCCCTGCACCTTGCGTGCAGATCCAGGTGTTCCAGAGGCTGAGTGAGAGCTTTCCCGTTGATCAGCAGTTGCCGGAGTTATCGAGATAGCTGCATGGAATCCACAGACCCGATTTCTCCTTCTATCTTATTATTTTCCATATTCCTAGAACATTTCTGTATTAGGTTGTTCAGACTTGTGATAGAGGCTCTTGACTTGTGACACCGGATCGGTGGGCTATGTAGTGGTATTATCTTTGACTTTCGCATATTTAATTTACTGTTTCAAACGTTTATTATGCTAAACTGATACTTAAACTATGTTAGCTGGTAATGAATTTTATAAGGAATTGGTTGAGGTTGGTAGTTGGTCAGGCTTGCCTAGCGTTGTGTTGGGCGCCATCACGACTGGGGTTGGGGTCGTGACAATAATCGTGTTCAAGGTTGTATCAAGTATCAACTATCAATAAACTAATTGTCTAAGTTATGCAAATAAAAAAAGAAAAAGAAGTTTATTATAGAGACGAATTGTAAGTTGATTGCTTTGTATTTTTTGATAAGAAAGTTGACATGCTTTGGATTATCCTCACTTGGTAAGGATTTGTGGTTCAAGCCTCACTCTCACAACCTACATTTGGCTGAAATTAAAGCCTCACTAGCTAGGTTGTTTTCTCAGTTGTTGTTCAGAGGCTATTTTTGAGAGCTAGTCTCTAGAGTCAAATAGAGCTAGTTTGTAAACAACCTACATTTGGCTGAAATTAAAAATTTCACTTTGACCAAATTTTTTTTAAAGCGCAATTCATGACCAAGGTTGAACTCTAGACTAAACTCTGAATAGTAGGCGCTTAACCAGCAAGATATAGAGCTATTTGTGTTGCAGTGTCATTTATAATGTTTGTATAAGTATTCTGTTATTGCATATTATGTATACATTCATATACATACATACACAGTTTGACACAATGTGCATCCACCCCAAATGTCCACTAATATATCATAATCCAATAACTATTTAACGTTAGATAAAAGTCTCTTATCAACAACTGGAACCAACCCAAAGAATCACAACATATTAACAACACCATAGAGTAATATCCATTGATATATTAGAATCACAAATCACAACAAAAACACACATTAACTGATATATTTTAAATCAAGTAGATTAAATATTATTCAGAAAAATTGTATTTTTTTCCAGTTTTTCTAGTAGAAAACACGGGTGCCCCTGTGCACAAACACAATATATGTAAGACACATGTACCCTTTTTTCAAGGAAATTGACCATCTCCATCAACAGAATTTTTTGATTCCAGTTGCCTAAAAAAGCTTCTAGACTCAGACGGCAGATAACATAAGCACAAGAACCTATAAAGAACACAAATACAAAATTAAAAAAATACTGAAATTATCAAAGACTTTTCTGAGAATAAAATCGAGGATTCAACCTACCAATTTCTAGAACAAAATACGAAGAACCTGAATTATAGACTACAATTTTAGTAAGCTCCTAAGTAGTTTAGCAATTGGCTAAGGTCAAATCTATTAAATCAGGAAAACCATCCTATTAAAGTAACTCAACTGCAGCCATTACCTAAAAGTTATAACCTGGACAACAACATCAAACACATAAAACAGCAATTAGAATTATCAAGAAAGAAACTTAAAAATAGCAACCTGACCAAAGAGCTACCTACTGAGATTTCTCATTCATGAGTCAATGTTGCAAACAGAAAGAAAGCCTCCAACGATGTCGTTTCTTGGTAGAGACTTTGAGGGTGGAAACATGCAGAACATCTTGTCTATATGTTCTTGTTCTCACCGGTATTTACCTATTAGCCATGGCAGACAAGTAAGATCGAACGTAAAGTAGTGTCAGCCACCGTCCTAGAAAAAAATAAATTTACAGAAATGGGCTATAATAACGCGGGTAATATCATTGTTGTATGCTACTGGGTTATTCCAGTGATTTATGATATGGTTCGATTAACAGATCAAAAAACATATAATTTCCAATTATCACCTAAAAACCTTTCAAGGTTTTAAAAAAGAGCATTTCTTATAGAGTTTTGCAAAATTCTTTGTCATAGCTAGCTTTAAAAAACAATTGTGGTAGATAGAAGTTACTGATTCTCGGGAACCCATACCCGACACTTGCCCCAATTGTGGTACCTTGCCTGCTTCTCACTTTACTACAATGCTTCTTGAAGTCGTTTTTTTAATTGTTTCATTATTGATAAATATATTATTGTCTATCTTATAATTCAAAGGGTTGTCTCACCCACGAAAGTTGGATACTTGGATCACTCAAATATTTGAGTTCTTACATTGATCAAACATAAGATGAGAGAAGGAATAAAAAAGATTACAATATCAATCTTTTATACTCTACATGTCAGTCAAATACTGCAATTTTGGCTATACATATGAACAGATTACATGATGCCTTATAAATGCGTAAAATGTAAGACTTTCTCTTAAAGGGTGATATTTGTGATGCTAACTTCAAAAATCTTGAACTCTATTTGAAAGTTGTGAATTTGTGTGCAGGATGTAATGGAATAAGCTCTATACTTCTCAAAGGACAATCCCAAAAATTTTGCTAACCTGTCTCACAAAATAAAGAATTTTTCCAAAATTCATGATCTTGATGTTATATAGAGGTTCCTTCTCACAGTTGGAGAACTCATGAACCATCAATTGCTTTAAGTTATCGTCGGTATTCAGTATGGTATTTAATTCATAAATATCTAAATAAAAATTATTCCCTCTTTTTTGTCTATAGCCATACACATAGCATACATACTTACACAATGCAGATTTTAAATTACAACATACATATAAATATTATTGTTATTCTCATATCATTACTTCATGAACCCAGATTAAAGGCTAAATGGCCTCGTGGCCCCTTAAACTTGTACACGATTTTAAAGCCGATATATAAACTTTGGATTTTCCCATTTTAGCACATCAATTCAATCAGTTGAGTATAAATAAACCTCTTCGTCAGAGCGTGTAACTCAATTGCCTGACAGGAAGAACACACCAAAAGCTAAGACCATTTATTATTTTACATGTATCATCTGTGGGTCCCTTTTTTTAAAACTAATTTATCAAAATTTCTTTTCTTATTTTTCTTCTTTCACTATTTCTTCTACACATTTTAGCACCGTAATCCCAACATCACGTGACTGCCTCAATCAGCCATGAACTACTATAATTTCATTCCATCTTTCACTTCTAACAAAATCCATAAATCCATACCCCAGGTCAAAGAGTCGACGGTCCACCTACTAAAATTCCGTCAAGGCAACAAAAGAGCTGGTGAAGCTATGTCAAAGAAGGACATGAATGGTGAAATCATTAAGAGAAAAGAAGTCGAGCTGCGTTAATTTTTTGATGGTCTTTCTCTTTTCTCTATTTGTCTTCCAGTTTGAGATGGATACAAAAAGGAGAGAGGAAGTTAATGTGAGACAAAGGATTAACAGAAAATTTTAACAAAATCTATTGATTTTCTTTATTGTTCACTACTGCTGCCTGGTTTTGGAACCAAAAAAGGAAGAAGCAGAAAAAGATTAGCGGGGGAGAAAGAAAAGAAGGGGGTAAAAATGATGAGCTCTCGGCGCATGTAAGATGTTGAAGTAAAGTTTTGCCACCATCAAAGCATCTTCTATCTCTCATTTCTCAACGGATTAATAGTGCTCCATAATGAATTAAACATGGATAACCATAACAATAAAAATACAATATGGGCATAATATGGCACTTTCTGTACAATATGTGTGGAAGAGGACATAAGAATAGTGTATGGCTCTGGAAACATTGTCCAACCACAGTTAACTGTTATAAATACAATACCCAAATGCAAAGGAATTGTTTATATTTTCAAGCACACAAGCACATCCTAACCATCAGCTATGAGTAACTTGCTATAGAACCCAACTTGGTAGCCAACCTCTTACATTCCAAAATATCATTTAACTATGAGAAGACTTATATTACCACTTGTATACCTTCAGAAAACAAATAAACACCATTCAATTATGAAAATACAGGTGAATCAACCCTTTTACCCGCATTGGATCCCTTTTACTCTTCAACCAAGCTACCCTTCTTTATTTTTATTCACTGACATTCTATTTACCCCTCTATTTCTAGGCTTTTTTTCCTTTGATTTTCTCTATAGCTAGTGTCATATAGGTTTACTGCTTTGTCATCTTTAACTTATTCGATGAAGTGCAGGATAATGCTTTTATTTAACCCTGGCAAAAGGGAAAGTGAACAAATATATTTCAGTTCTGTTTTAGAATGAACTCGGTCAAGGATGGTAAATACCAAGCATTCCATTCTCAAGTTTCTCATTATGCGATAGTCTCTCACTTCTCATTTTTCTGGGATGTCTGTTATTCCTTATTTACATCTTTTTCGTTCTTTGTTTATATTTGTTGGTGCACAATCCAACAGTTGATGTAATTAAGGTGTTTGATGATATGCTTGGAAAAACTAAATGATTCTTGTGCTCCTCTATGAAAGGAAAATGCATGAAAAGTAGAAGCCATTGTTAAAGGAATATAAACAATTTGAATGGACAATTTACTGTTAATGTCCAGGTTTTAGGCAATAATGATTCTGGAATTGGATTGACTTTATTTGAACGTTCTTACAGGAATATTGATAATATTTGTTGAATTTCGAAGGCAAATTGACTGATCCTTTCCTTCGCAATAATTTTGCCTTTATTTTCAAGCTATGTCGGCCTAAAATTAATCTTAGTAAGCCTATTACTTCACTCCTAAGAGCTCTATGCTATTCAGGCTTTGCAGTAATATTTCTACCTTCAAGTTTTCTGATTAGCTTCATATTTCCTATGAATAAAAATCTTGATCAATGGATTTTCATGTTCTGTGGTAATATGAAATATAGAACATGTAGATGTTGGATCTTCGCCTTTTGTTCCAGGTTATTTTTGGAGTTGTCTCGACTCCATCAGCATACTATAGTTTGTAGTGAGTGTAGTGACTATGTATCCAAAGGGATGAGCTTGTGCAAACAAATGGAAGACTACGGAGCTATTAGTGAGATGTTACTCGAAAGAGAAAAAGAAGACTACATAGCTACTACAAAAATCTCACTTTCTAATCCTGCTGTTTTTAACTCATATGTTACCCAAGAAAACATATGGCTTTGCAGCAACACCTCCTGATACAAAATGTAGATGGTAGAAATTAGAATTACCGTAGAAAAAAATAATAAACTATTATGTCAGAAGAACTGTTGCAACACTGAAACAAAAAATTCAAAAGTACTCCTTCCAAAGTAGCCCGATTCTGATTGAAATGAGAAACTGGAGTATTCATCTCAACCAAGCTAAGAGAGGCATTCTTTATTAAAGCCTGCAAGATTGAAAAGTATGCAACAACAATGAAGAAATCAATATTATGGAATAATAACCGAGCCATAATTTATAGGTTACTGAAAATAACATATTTCACTAATATACTTCTATTGGGAACTGCATAACTGAGCCCCGAACCCGATCGTGATGGCGCCTCTCGTAAACACAAGGCCAGCCAGTTTAATCCAATTCATCTTTTAAAGCAGTTAAACAACACAAAATAGTCTAAACATGATTTAATAATTCTAACTAGCGGAAATATCAAGAATAATGCGGAAATCCAACCCAACACACCCTTAACTGGGGTGTCACAAGTCAAGAGCATCTACGAGTCACAGTACCGTCTGCTAAAGTCATAAACTACTACAAGTGTTTGTAGGAAACAAAAATTATAGAAGAGTAGAGACACGGGGCTGCGGACGCCAACAACTACCTCGTAATCTCCGAAAAAGCCCGCCTGGAACCGGAGGAAATCAACACTCCGGAGCAGAACCAGCTACGCCTGAATCTGCACACAGGGTGCAGGGAGTAAAGTGAGTACTCCAACGCAGTGAGTAATGAATATAAATAATAACTAAAAGCAAGAAAACACGTAAAGCATTCATAGATTGAGTTGTTGTCTATATCTGGGCCATGTTGGTTGTCCAACTCCCCTGGAGTATGTTCAAGTGTTCCCAGATCAATAATAATTTTGCCTCCTTTATTTTGAATGCAAGCCGTATCCGCAGTGACTGGAGACAAAATCTGATTGTTTGAGCTAGCACTACTACTTTCGTGCTCTTTTGTTTTTTCTTCCTGTTGAGCCTCAATCTCTTTGTCTTTGCCTGTAGTATTCTCTTTTATTCTGTTCTCCATGCTGATTTTTCCTTCCTTTTGTACATCTTCTATGATTTTCTCTTCTATTTGCCTTGACTTTTGTTTGATCCAAAGTCTGTTTTCAACTTTCAGACATTGGGTAGTCTGCCTTTTTTGTTTTCTTTTTCTTGTTTCTACTGTTATTCTTGTTTGGATTAGCTCCTTTTCCCTGGATAGTAGTAGTTCCATCATTTTTTCCTACCAGATTGTCTTTTGCAGGTTCTTTCTCTTGAATGTTTCTGTTTTGTGGAGTTGTCTGGTCATGTGGCGATTGTAATTGTTTCATATCAGTTTGTTTGGCTTCATTGTTGTTGGTATTTGAGCTCTCTGCCTGAAAGGCCTTCTTTTTCTTGTTCCTCTCTTTTCTAACTTGTGTGAATCCATCGTCCTTTTGGTTCTCATTGCGTGTTTGTGCCCCCACAATATCAGCCTTAATTCCTGCATTTCAAGAGTTGTTATTCCTTGCTTGATCTTCATTTTTCTCAGCCTTTTCATTGTCTCTGTTAGTTCTAGCATGTTCTCTCTTTCTTGCCTCGACCTTGTACCTTCCGAAATCATGTCCCTGCAGTTTACATGTTTTACAGAATGCTGGAACACCCTCGTATTCTAATTTTTTATCTCTGCCCTTCAGGCCTGTTGTATCACCTTCATTACCTACGAAGACAGAGTCTGGGAGAGATTTCATCAAATCCACTTCAACCCTCACTTTAGCTATGTGTGGTCTGGTTCTTGCAACGATAGCAATGTCCTCCTTCATTGGAGTGCCAATTTGTTCTAATACTTGTCTTAAGTAATCCCATTTAAACATATGGGAAGATAGTTCTGGTAATAATACCCAAATAGAGGCAAGGATGTTTCTTCGTTTGGATCGAAGTCGAGGGACCATTTGAACATCCGCATTAGAGCTCCAGAAATTCTCATGAATTGTTGGAAGTAGCCAGTGTTGAAGTCTGCTTCATTGTTAAATTCAATGAAAACATGTCTATAATCATAAGCCCCAATTCTTACCTTTCCTTTCAGAGGAATTTGCTCAATGAATTTTGTCCTAATAGTTTCAATTTTGGGTCTGCCCATTGTGAATTTTCCGACCAGAGTCCATTTGCAATTCTCCTCCAATAACCCATAGTATTCGGAAGCTTTAAAAATAACTGCCGGTTTGCCGTTGTTGGTCGTTTGCCTTGCCACAACGGTGTTGGTGTTGGTTGTATTGCAAGAGCTAGATGTTCCAGCGACAGCGGTGGAGTATGAAGTTTTTGGGTCAGGTGGTATAGCCACCGGTGGCCTTATATCTGTAGGTGGGTCTTTTGGCTGAGTGATACGCGCCGGTTGACCGGCCGGAGATGGTTCCACAGAGGTCGTGTGAAGTCACGTTTTTGTAGTTGAAGTTACCGTTGAGAGGAACTTTTTTTTCTCCAAATATTGTATCTACTTTGCTGATATGAGTATATATTTGAACATGAGGATATATTAATATTTGTGTGGATAAACGGAGTAGAGATGGATTAGGTAATACTTTGTCTTTAAGACGCTTATTCTTTTTTCCTTCTTTTTTTTCCCCCTCTGTTTTTATTATTTTCTCTTCTTGGTAAATTGTGCAATCTTGGTCTATTATGCGTTAAATATTTGACTAATAAGATTTAAGCAGATAAGGTCATGTGAGATGTGGCAAAGGTTTATTTCTACATTTCAAGTTTTGTTTTTCTTAGTAGATTCCAGAAGTTCTTAAATACTTTGTGTAATATGAGATTCATATAAAAGACTCTCCTACTGCAATGTAATTGATGCACTGAAGACAATGGAACATAGGCGGATCCGGAATTTAATTTTTATGGGTTCCTGCAACAACCTCGAGTAAATTTTCAATAGTAAGTGGGTTCACATTCAAACATTTATAGATATTTAGTAAATTTTTTGAACACATTTACACTGTTTGGATAAAAGCTACTAGGTTCACGTGAACCCGTAGGTCGCAAGGTGAATCTGACATTGCAATGGAAGATATCAGGTGCTTCTGCATTGAGTATGCTTCTTGCTTATTTGTCGTTCCTTAATTTTAGTGACATTAATCTTGTACTCTTTTTATGCTTGTGGGCAAAGAACTTTATTAATGCCTAGAACTCCAGGGAAAGGCGAGGGAACAAATAGAGGAGGAGAAGTTGCGCGCTTTGTTGGAAAAGCTAGCCATTCATGCATATTAATGTCTTAAAGCTTTGCAAAATATTGAAGTCGTCCTACGCGGTTCTAATTACATGAGTTTACCGCTTGACAACCACTTGCATTTTAGTGTTAAAAAAATATATGAATAAGATTCACAAACATAACACCGTTAAATTCGAGTCCATTACTCAAATGGTCACTCAACTATCCCAAACTATTTCCTAAAGTCACTTTTCTTTTGTTTGTAACAACAAAGTCACTGAACTAAGCATGTTGCACTCAGAAGGTCACTCAACTAGTTTTTCCAAATTTTGGACTGCCAAATACCTATTTTACCCTCTAAATTATAAACATTTATCTTCTTTTTATTTTTTTAAAACTTTTTAATATTATAATTTTTTCTTTTTTAATTTACATTATGAAGTTACCTATAGAATATAAATTTTATTTATAAATTAAAAAATAAAAAGTATTTAAGCATATATAATGCTGGAATAACAAAATAATGAGCATAGTAAAAAAATTAATTAGAATAATTTGTTAGTAATAATAATTTTAGTATTAACAACAAAAAATTAAAAAATTATTTACACAATGCAGAATGAAAGAAAATAAAGGTTGTAAAATATATATTTCATGCATGTAATATAAATATAATTATTTAAATAAAGGTAATTTTATAATATACATTATATATTCTTGAAAATTATACTAAATTATATTATATATTTTCCATGCACGATTTAACATAGCATATTTTACCATTTACAGATAGTCCCTACCATCGTAACTCTCGCTAACTGTCAGAGCGCAAAGAATGGAAACATGATCAATGAACATATGCAGTGTAAAAAATCTTGGAATTGTTTCATTCATAAAATCAAATAAGTCAACGCGGTTGCTAATCAAATAAATACATATATATGGTTGAGTAATGGCTAAACAACTTCGCACAAAAGGAAGTTAATGAAATCCTAAAACTATGGCAGTTTTTTGTCAGTTTCGAGATAAAAAATGAAAGGCACCTTATATGAATAATACATGCAGATCATCTGAAAAACTACACGATCATATGAGGCGTCATGTCAAATATAAATGCAAGTGGACAGTAACGCCTGCGTCCACCAAGAAAGGCTACATAATATGGACATGCTTGTTCACACCAAGGACTGCATCATTTAGTTCCCAGATTGCATCCTGTACACAGCAGTCAAATTACATAAACATTTTAGCTAACAATGTTAGTGAGGTGAAACTGATGCTCCTGATAAAAAAGAAAAAAAAATTATAAACCGCCCCTTAGTTACGTCTCAAAAATTAAATTTCTTTGACACCCAAAATCAATTTTCTTGCAAGTTTGCTACCTGATGCCACATATGTGATTTTAACAGATTATATTTTCTGTTTGACAGAGAGAAGAAACTTAATATCGAGATAAATGTATTCGAAACACACTTTGTTCTTCATATTGGTGACATATATCAAGAAATATTGCACATATACTGCAGCTTACTGTCATTAAGACTATTAATTAACAAATGCCACCACAAAACCCCTAATTTCATAACCTAGATCAAAGCTAAATTCTCTTAATGCAAATAACATTCACACTAAGTTTAAGGTGTGATATTACACTATTAGAGTGCGGGTTAACGAAATCTCCAATAGTTTCTTCATTGAGATCTTTCAAACTCACAAATCAAAGAGCTAATACATAGCATATAATTGCCATTGTATGTCAAGAAAAAAATAGAAACTCTCCGAGCTACAGAGCTCAAACAACGTGATGAATTCAATTTCTTGGGTAGAGGATAAAATAGAATCATCGCATACGGCATATTTTGCAATTTTTGGAAGTATTTAAGAGATTTTATTACGAATATATGATAATAATGTTGAATTGGAGCGATTGTTCTAATCAAGATATTATAGCTCACATCCCTTGGTAAGGAGAATTCAAGAGAAAAACTTAGCAATAAAAGCATCACTCTATTTCTAAAAGCACTTGTAGATGAGTTAGTAGCATCTCATTGAGATAACAAATTGGAGAGCAGTCACATGTATTAATAGAAGTGCAGTCACACTTAAAAACTATCATTTCCAGTTAAGATAGGGCATAAGGAGCCATTTTTGTAAATTAGAAAAGACCTTCTTTATTTCCTGCTAATTTATCTGCTAATGTCTACTGTTTTTACTTATCCAAAACGTCCACTGATGCAAAATTAAATACGATCTCTTTCCATACTTCACAAGAAGCAGCTAGTTCCGGGCTCCATTTGCAAGCCTCGCGAATAATTTCATTACCTTCCTGGGCGAGATCACGTCCTTCATTACGAGCTTGTACACATGCTTCTAGAGCTACTCGATTAGCTACGACACCTGGCGCATTACCCCAAGGATGTCCTAAAGTTCCTCCACCGAACTGTAGTACGAAATCATCCCCAAAGATCTCGGTCAGAGCAGGCATATGCCAAACGTGAATACCTCCTGAAGCCACGGGTAGAACACCTGGTAAAGAGACCCAATCTTGAGTGAAATAAATACCGCGACTTCGATCTTGTTCAACAAAATCATCACGCAGTAAATCAACAAAGCCCAAAGTTATGTCTCTTTCACCTTCAAGTTTACCTACTACGGTACCGGAGCGAATGTGATCTCCACCAGACATACGTAACGCTTTTGCTAATACCCGGAAGTGGATACCATGATTCTTCTGTCTATCAATAACCGCATGCATTGCACGGTGGATGTGAGGAAGTAGACCATTATCTCGGCAATAATGAGCCAAGCTAGTATTTGTGGTGAATTCCCTCGTGTAGTCATGCATTACGATCGGAACACCCAATTCTCTAGCAAATACAGCTCTTTTGATCATTTCATCGCATGTACCTGAAGTAGCATTCAAGTAAATAAGAATTGCTCAGATACCCGTGAGTGAGGCTTATTTGGGTCGTGTTATAAATGCCCTGGCTAAACCTATTGATGGTAGAGGTGAAATTTCAGCTTCTGAATTTCGATTAATTGAATCTGCCGCCCCGGGTATTATTTCGCGCCGTTCCGTATATGAGCCTCTTCAAACCGGGCTTATTGCTATTGATTCGATGATCCCTATAGGACGTGGTCAGCGAGAATTAATTATTGGCGATAGACAGACCGGTAAAACAGCAGTAGCCACAGATACGATCCTCAATCAACAAGGTCAAAATGTAATATGTGATTATGTAGCTATTGGGCAAAAAGCATCTTCTGTGGCCCGGGTCGTAACTACTTTACAGGAAATGGGAGCGATGGAATACACTATTGTGGTAGCCGAAACGGCAGATTTCCCTGCTACATTACAATACCTTGCTCCTTATACAGGAGCAGCTCTGGCTGAATATTTTATGTATCGTGAACGACACACTTTAATCATTTATGATGATCCCTCCAAACAAGCGCAAGCTTATCGCCAAATGTCTCTTCTATTACGAAGATGTCGTGAAGCTTATCCAGGAGATGTTTTTTATTTGCATTCACGCCTTTTTGAAAGAGCCGCTAAATTAAGTTCTAGTTTAGGTGAAGGAAGTATGACCGCCTTACCAATAGTTGAAACCCAATCGGGAGATGTTTCGGCTTATATTCCTACTAATGTAATTTCCATTACTGATGGACAAATCTTTTTATCCGCCGACCTATTCAATTCTGGAATCAGACCTGCTATTAATGTGGGTATCTCCGTTTCCAGAGTGGGGTCCGCAGCTCAAATAAAAGCCATGAAACAAGTAGCTGGTAAATTAAAATTAGAACTAGCACAATTCGCAGAATTAGAAGCCTTTGCACAATTTGCTTCTGATCTCGATAAAGCTACTCAGAATCAATTGGCAAGAGGTCAACGATTACGTGAATTGCTTAAACAATCCCAAGCAGCTCCTCTCACGGTAGAAGAGCAGATAATGACTATTTATACCAGAACAAACGGCTATCTTGATTCATTAGAAGTTGGACAGGTAAGGAAATTTCTTGTTGAGCTACGTACTTACTTAAAAACTAATAAACCTCAGTTCCAAGAAATCATATCTTCTACCAAGACATTTACCGAGGAAGCAGAAGCCCTTTTGAAAGAAGCTATTCAGGAACAAATGGACCGTTTTATACTTCAGGAACAAGCATAAAGAAATATTGATCACTTTTGTCTTAATCTTAATAAGAAAAAGGAATCAAGCGTCTTGGATTCAAATATTCAAACAGTCTTTTTTGCTATCGAAATCTAAAAAAAATATATATATATATGGAAATAAATTGCGTCCAATAGGATTTGAACCTATACCAAAGGTTTAGAAGACCTCTGTCCTATCCATTAGACAATGGATGCTTTTCATTCTGATTTTTTTTCGTATTTTAACTTTTTGTTTGAAAGAAAACCCAGAAAGAATCGGATGTGAATGAATTTTTGGAATTGTATATTCAATGATGTACTAATACTAATAAACTAAATTTGATTTAATGAATAGATTAAAATATTTAGAATAAATAGATATAGAGCGGGTAGTGGGAATCGAACCCGCATCGTTAGCTTGGAAGGCTAGGGGTTATAGTCGACGTCGATTCATTATTTTTAATGTCTCTAATTCAAAACCGAACATGAAACTTTGGTTTCATTCGGCTCCTTTATGGAGATGAGTCAATTTATAGATCTAAGATGTGAACAAAATTGAAAAAAAAAAAGAATTCTACCCATAACATCTATGTCAGCTTTTGGTCTGAATACAGATAAAACGAATAGCTTTGTAGATGATCCTTCTAGAAGAGGGGGATTCTAACAACCTTTCTAGTTATTTCGTTCTCTATTTCTATTTAATAGGATTCTGAGGAAAAGGATTTTGTTTCCACTGAGCTAAAACAATATGTTGATGTCTCTAGTAAACCAAAGTCATCGTTTAATAACTATTTTGCTTCAATTTCTTCTTTACAAATAAGAAATTGAAGATTTAGTTATGATTAGAAATCAACTTTCTATCTTCATCCATGGATCCTTTATTCATACTTATTCAATTGGAAGTATTGATCCAATTCCAAAATTATGTTTCGCAATTTCATAATCCAATTTTTCAATGTCTAAGTGACCCTTGGATACAAATCACGAGAATGTGTATTTGTTCTCGAATCTGTGATTGAGAGGAAAAGGAATCCTTTTAAGAAATAAAGTTTTTGATCGGAATACGAATCAAACCGAAGGACCCTTTAACTATTTAAGGGATAATAGAACGAATCACACTTTTACCACTAAACTATACCCGCTACAATCCGATTATTGTATACAAATGCAACTTTTGTCGAACAGGGGGATTGTGGTAATCAAGATAGGATAAGATAGGGTCGTCACAGAATCATCCAAATTAGAGTGTTGATCTTTTTTCCTGGGGGATTCCAATCCAATCGTCTCAGAAGAGAAGACTAAGCTCAGACGAATTGCAGTCCGCTCGCAATTACTACCACAAGAAAGTCGCCCCTATCTCTAAAGGGGCTTATGCACTCCACGACTTTCTTATGTTATGGGGTCTCGAAGGAAAGATAATGAGAGGCAAAGCATGTTAATGTTTTTACACAATCTATATTGTTTCCCTTTTCTTAACGGGAAAACCACATTTGTATATATACCTGTAATCTAGAGAAGAAATACGGTTGATAATTTTAAAAACACTTGAAAGTCCAAAAAATTTGAAGACTTCAATTTAGAGCTTTACTAACATGAGACTGGAGCATCATTAACTTACTGTGAAGAAGTCTATCAAAGTCTTCCAATCATGTTCTTTTTAGCTACCGTAACACAAAAGGAAAGCAGTAAGATCTGGATAATGCATTTTGAGTATTGAGAAGTTTATTTAATGAGACCACAAGTTCCCAATGGACTTGGGATTAGCATATAGTAAGCATCATTAATGATCTGTCATCATGTGCATGCACAAATATATGAAAGATTTGTTAGTAAACTTTATTTGTAAAATAATTGTGGAGAAAATAAAATAACATAAACAGAAATAAAAAAAACAGAAACAGAATTGAATCCGAGCCCACTGAATTCACAGTGTTTCCTTAAGAAATTTAATCTCCTCCTAGTACCCAAGGTTATGGATTATTTCCTCCCAGGATAGAACGAATTACACACTGGTGTAGTGGTACTTCAAACCCCAGTGTTTCAGCGAACACAAAGTTCGGTAGCAAATCACACTTACTGTTGCTTTCTTTGAAGTTAAAACAATGCAGAAGAAGGAGGAGAAACTCAGAAAATCGTATGGAAATTCTGAGAGAATAGACTTGTATTTATAGCCAAAGTTGACCTGAAATCTGAAGTGGTGCAAAACGGCCATAACATAAATGCCATAACATAAATGGCTATTTACACAACAATAAAGAGGGAAAATAAAGAAAATTGAAGAGGGTAGTTTAATTTTCAGTTACACAACTGAAAAACGGAAAACTGATTGGATTTAATATTAATATTTGTTTTAATATTAATATTCTATTATTAAAACGAATATTTAATAACATTTCTGTTAATATTTTACTATTAACAAATAAATTTGGTCCAAAAAATTAATCAATCAATTGACCGAAGCCAAAGCCGAGCGAGTGACAACGACGACGGCGCGAGGCTTGCCTTCTTCTCAACTCTATAAGAGCTAGAAGAAGAGAAATTGCTTATATACCCATAAAAAACCTCTTCATCTTCCAATATGGGACAATGTTCCTTCATCAAAGGGGGAAACTTAAAATTTCACTTAAAATTTTCATTTCACTCCATTTCCCATTCACCCTCTTTTAAGCATTTAATATACTTAAAACCCCAACAACATTTAAAGAAGATTCAAAGCTAGAGAATTCTGTGTGATCATTATTTTTGTGAACAGCAGGTTCATAAGATTATGGGTTGTTAGCTTATGAAATAGAAGCATTTTGTTATTTACAGACGAAGTCATCATTAAGTCACAACAACCATTTGAAAGCTATACAAACATGCATGTCCAAAAGATAATGAGCGAGAAGTGTTGGGCTATCAGAATACTTGGCCTCAGGCCCAATAAGGCAATGTTAGTGTTTTGGCCAGATATTATTTTATTGTACATAGCCATTAGTTAATTAGTTAGTTAGGCTTCTTTTTGTAAAGGACACACATATAAATAGAAAAGGGCTGAAAGGCTAATCAGATTTTTCGAGCCACAAATTCAGTCTCTCTTATTTTCTCTCTTCTCGAACATTCTACAAAACCCTAATCAGATTCTTTCCAAAATCTCATTCGATTCAGGATGTTCACATGGTATCAGAGCATGGATCCTGATTGATCTCGTTATGCTGAATCGAGCGATGGTACCCGCGTTCATTTTAGAGAAGAAAATTCAGAATCGTGTTTTTTATCTCGCAAAGTATTTTCTTCGAATTCTCTGCAATTTCTAGCTTATATCTTTTATCTCGGTTGATTTGAGGTTTTCTCTTGGTTTCGAGTGGCGACTGTCGTTGTTGAAGCTAGGGTTCCAGTATTCGTTTGAAGCTAGGGTTCGAGTTCACCGTCGAAGTTAGGGTTTTCGATTTCCAGCCTTCAAATCCTGGTTTTTTTGGAGACTCTCGTGATTATCAAGGTCGTACTCTTTTCGGTTGCAA